GAACAAAGTAACATATAAGAACCCCCTACCGAACACTACAAAAACACTTCTGATAAGATTAAAGCAGACCTGGGGCACCTGGGTGGCTTAGTCGGTTAAGCGTCCGACTTTTGCTTAGGTCATGATCTTGTGGTTCGTGAGTTCGAGCCCCGCGTCGGGCTCTGTGCTGACTGCCAGCTCAGAGCCTGGAGCCTGTTTCAGAGTCTGTGATTCCCTCTCTCTCTGACCCTCCCCTGCTCATGCTGTCTCTCTCTCTCTCTCTCCTAGAAATAAATAAAACATTAAAAAAAAAAAAAAAAAGATTAAAGCAGACCTAAGAGAATGGAAGATAACACCACGTTCATGCATGGGAGGATTCGATAAGAGGTCAATTCTCCCCCTAAGTGATCCACAGACTCAGTACAATTATAATCATAATTCCATTAAGCTTTCCTCTAGAAATTGACAACCTGATTCTGAAATTTATATGAAAATGCAAAGAACCACTTTTCCGTCCTCCCTTCTTGCCACTTGCCGTGCCAGCTACACCCTCAGCTGTGCCCCTCATTGCCATGCCTCGCAAAATTGAAGAAATCAAGGACTTTCTGCTCATGGCCAAAAAGGATGCCACATCCATCAAGATCGGGAAAAATAAGGATAACGTGCAGTTTAAAGTCTGATGCAGCAGATACCTTTACACTTCGGTCATCACAGACAAAAAGAAGGCAGAGAAACCGAAGCAGTCCCTGCCCCCAGATTTGGCAGTAAAGGGGCTGAAATGAACCCAGCACATTGATTTGAACTGTATTAAAATTTTTTAAATTCTTGAAAAAAAAAAAAGAGCAAAGAACCTAAAATATCCAGAACAATCTTGAGGGGAAAAAAACAACAAAGTTGAAGACTTAAACTACATGACTTCAAAACTTAGCACAAAGCTACAGTAACCAAAGTCAGTGTTATACTGGCATAGGGACAGAGATCAATGAAAGAGAATTAAAAAATCCACAACAGGCACCTGGCTGGCTCAATCAGTACAGCATGCAATCTCAGGGCTGTGAGGGTGAACCCCATGTTGGGTGTGGAGATTACTTAAAAATAAAATCTTTTAAAAAATAAAATCTTAGGGCATCTGGGTGGCTCAGTTGAAGCATCCAACTTCAGCTCAGGTCACAGTCTCACAGTTTGTGGGTTAAGTGCCGCATCGGACTCCCTACTGTTAGTGTAGAACCAACTTCAGATCCTCTGTCTCCCTCTCTCTGCACTCGTGCTCTCATTCTCTCACCAAAAAAAAACAAAAAAAAAAAACAACAAACTTTTAAAAAGAAAACAAAAACAGATACATGCTATATGGTATTTAATTTTTGATAAATATGCCAAAGAATTTAATGGGGAAAAGGAAATTTTTGCAACAAATGGAGCTAAAACAACTGAATAACCATAACAAAAATAAATAAATAAATCTCAATCCTCACCTCATACACTTATTAATTCAAGATGGATCATAGAACTAAATGTAAAAACTAAATTATAAAACTTCCAGAAGAAAATATAAAAGAATATCTTTATGTCTTGGAAGGAGTGAAGATTTCTTTTTTTTTTTTATAGTTTTTAATAGTTTATTGTCAAGTTGGTTTCCATATAACACCCAGTGCTCATCCCCACAAGTGCCCTCCTCCATGCCATCAACCCCCCTTCCCCTCCTCCCCACCCCCAGGAGTGAAGATTTCTTAAAGGTCAGAGAATGCAATAGCTATAAAAAAAAATGCCGAATTAGATTTCATCAAAAACTGATTTTATTTATTATTATTACTTTTATTTTAGAAAGATAGAGCATGAGCAAGAGAGAGGGGCAGAAGGAGAGAGAGAGAATCCCAAACAGGCTCCACACTCAGCACAGAGCCCAATGCGGGGCTCAATCCCACAACCCTGGAATCATAATCTGAGCCAAAATCAAAAGTTGGATGCTCAACCAATTGAGCCACCCAGGCACCCCAGATTTTATCAAAATTTAAAACTTCTGGGGAACCTGGGGGCTCAGTTGGTTGAGTATCCAACTTCAGCTCAGGTTATGATCTCATAGTTTGTGGGTTCAAGCTCTGCATCAGGCTCTCTGCCGTCAGCGCAGAGCCTACTTCAGATCTTCTGTATCCCTTTCTCTCTGCCTCTTCCCCACTCGTGCACTCTCTCTGAAAAATAAATAAACATTAAAAAAATAAAATTTAGGGGCACCTGGGTGGCTCAGTCAGTTAAGCTTCCGACTCTTGGTTTTGGCTCAAGTCATGATCTCATGGTTCATGAGTTCAAGCCCTGCACTGGGCTCTGCACTGCCAGTGCAGAGCCTACTTGGGATTCTCTCTCCCTCTCTCTCTCTCTGCCCCTCTCCCAATGGCACTTTCAAGAAAGAAAGAAAGAAAGAAAGAAAGAAAGAAAGAAAGAAAGAAAGAAAGAAAGAAAGAAAGAAAAA